ACACACACTATCAAAGGTAGCTTTTTCATGAAGAGCAGAGCAATTAAAATAGCGAGATAGTTATGATCGTGCAATGTGTAGTCCCCTGGGCTTTCTAATTGAGTCGTGTAGTGAGTGTTCGGTCATGTGGTTTACCGGCTCGACTCAAAAAGGCTTCGAACTATTCACTGACCGCATATAAAATTTATAATGGTCGTGCAATGTGTAGTCCCTTGGGCTTTCTAATTGAGCCTTGTAGCGAGCTTTCGGCCACGTGATTTACTGACTCAACTCAAAAAGGCTTCGAACTATTCACAGACCAATTGATTGACATTTTATATATAGAATTAACGAAAATTCAAGAGTAGCTTTCACTCATTTGAAGCGGCAGCTTTTCCTTATGAGTGTGTTCAACCATGACAAGACTGTGAAGGGTAGTAAATATGCTAAAGCCTCTGTAGCTATCATTTGGGGATTGATGAAGTTCTACCTCACAAGATTCGAAAGTACAGATAGTATCCAATACACAAGGGGTCTCATCACATGCAATATGTCTAATGCATAACCTAGATGAACAAAATGCAGTATGCGTGATGTGTCCATAAAACTTTAAAAGTTGCAAGTCTGGACACAGACTAATGCAACAGTTTATGCAACTGCACAGGTCAGACAATACAAATTCCAAGCGAATTTCGCAAGGAATCAAACCTTTGTGCATCTAGGGGTTTAGTAAAGATGTCAGCAAGTTGTTTCTCCGTTGTGACATACTCTAATGAGACAGTTCCTTCCTCTACAAGATTTCTAATGAAATGGTAGCGAATTTCAATATGCTTAGTTCGAGAGTGCTGTACTGGATTCTTGGAAATATTAATCGCACTCACATTGTCACAATAAATATGCAATAAATCTTGACTAATACCATAATCACATACCATTTGTTTCATCCATAAGAGTTGGGCACAACAACTACCAGCGGCGATATATTCCGATTCAGCAGTGGAAAGCGAGATACTATTCCGTTTTTTGCTGTACAAGGACACGAGATTGTTCCCAAGATAGAAACATCCTCCAGTTGTGATTTTTCGATCGTCTGCATCACCTGCCCAATCAGCATCGCTAAAGCCTCGGGTTTGAATTCCTTCTTCTACCGGGCCAATGACTTGATCCACTGGATGATTCTTCTTGACTTTTCTTGAGGGTTCCTTGTGAGTTTGATCATCCAATTCGAGAGGCCTGACTTCAGCTTCGTCTCCTGGTCGAAGATAGACTCGATTTATGATATGACATGCAATGTTAACTGCTTCTGCCCAAAAACGAGGAGCGATCTCCTTTGCGTTCATCATGACCCTGGCCATCTCTTGCAGAGTGCGATTTTTGCGTTCAACCACTCCATTTTGTTGAGGTGTTTTAGGTGCGGAGAATTCATGAGATATTCTTTTGTGCCAAAGCACTGTAGAGTCTGACAGACTGTTGAAACAGTTCATACCAGCAGAGACAAGAATATAGCAGTTGTCAGATGATCGAGTTCCTTGAATAACACAATTCTCATCTTTGTCTAATACTCGACATGCGAATTTGTTGAATCTGACTTCAAGATCTTGATCACATAGCTGGCTGATGCTTATCAGATTTGACGTGAGTCCTTCTACATGTAGTACATTCTTCAGCTTTGGCAGATTCTCATGATTTAGCGATCCTTTCCCTAGCACTTCACCCTTTTTTCCGTTTCCAAAGGTAACAGCTCCACCGGTGATTTGTTGATAGTTTTTCAGAAACTCTTTAACACCGGTCATATGTCGTGAACACCCACTGTCAAAATACCAATCATTAGTAGTACTTGCTTTTAAAGAAGTAATCGCAGATAAGCATTTAAACGTGGACTTTTCAACCCAAATTTTTTGCTGAGGTCTATTGGAAATATCAATTTTATTTTTGGGTTTTTGAGAGGGTGAAGGAAAATAATCAGCCCTAGCAGAGTAAAGAGAACGAGCCACAAGCTTTTTCACAAGTTTTAAATATTTGAAACATCTAGGACGTATGTGACCTGGATTTTGACAGAAAAAACAAGTGGGAATAAACCTTTTCTTTGAATTGTGTTTCGTTGCTTCAACAGTTGCAACTGTTTGTGAGACAGAAGCTTGTTTAACAAAGTTGATTTTTCTGTTTTGATCTTCCTTTCGCTTTAGATCAACTTTGGGTAGCTGACTCCCTCCTATGCCTAGACGATTATAGTTTGGCTTGTTGTTGCTTAAGATTTCATCTAGATTACCTCTACC